TATTAACCTGAAGCATCTCGTATGCCAAATCTTTGTTCTTCTGTTCAGCTACAGATACAGATTAACAGAGTTGGAAGGGACCTTGTAGGTCATCTAGTCCAACCCCCCTCCATCCAAGCAGGAGACCCTACACCATTTCTAACAAATGGCAGTCAATTCTTTTCTTGAAAGTCTCAAATGATGAAGCTCCCACAACTTCTGGAGGCAACTTCTGTTCCATCGGTTGATTGTTCTCACTGTCAGAAAATTCCTCCTTATTTCCAGGTTGAATCTTTCCTTGGTCAGTTTCCATCCATTATTCCTTGTCTGGCCTTCAAGTGCTTTGGAAAATAGCTTGACCCCTTCCTCTTGTTCAATGTGGGCCTCCCTCACACAGGGCTCTCTGGGACTTGCCCATATATTCAGGAGAGGCCAGTATTCAGAAGACCAAAATGCCAGGGCTCTGTGTGAGCCCTGCATGACAGAGACCATCTCTCCCCCTTCCTCAATACTCCCTGTCTCCTTAGAGCTCAGCATCACTCTCGTGGTACCTGTGGGAGGAGACTGTCTTCCAATCACCTGTGTCAGCGGATGATGGCTATCTCAGTTACCATGCCCCATGAGATGGCCTGTTCAGCTGAACGTGGCTGAACTCTGGAGCAAAGAGCATGGAATGATGGTTGGGAGACTTCCTGAAGGCCACCTGGGGAAGTCAAGGAATATTCCTGGCAGAAGGAAGGTGCAAAGTCCTTTTCTGGATCATTGGCCACTTTTATGAAGTATCCGGAACGGAGAAGTAGGTTTGGTTTCTTTTAAATAAAAACCTACCCCCAAATACATGGTTACACATCGATACCTTTCTCTTTTTCATGAGCATTTCCTCCTATACTTGGAGGGATTATATTGAATACAGACTGTTGTGTCTACCAAGTATCAGGATTAAAGAGAATGTAACAATGAGAGGCCGGGTTTGAAGTATTTCATTCAATTTTTCTAGCAAGAAAAATTTTCAATGTTTTTTGCATTTTTTTTCAAATATGCTAATATTTTTCAAAACACCTTTAAAGTAAAAAAAAACAAAAACAACATGTAACACAATTACTCTATAGTCTAGGGAAAGACTTAAAAATGAAGCTGAGTAGGAAATGACACCATAAAATGGGACCTGTCTTCCACTGTGCTTAAAACAGTATAAAGAGATAGGAGCGACTACTCCCTTTCCCCAGGAACATCTTGTGTTTATTGCTCTCTTAGCAAATGACTCACACTCATATCAAAAGAGGGATCAATGCAACATGCTGCATTTTGGATCTTGACTTATCGGGACTGTCAATTAAACCTAACACCAAACTATTAGCCACGTTCCACGAGAAAGAGAAGGAAATGTGTCAAGTGAGGCCTTGGGAAAACCATGCTTTCCTTCCATGGCAGATCAGCTAACTCCAACCAAAGAGATTAAACTAACAAGATAACCAAAGCTGCCTTCCTCTTTGGGAAAGCTACGTTCCCAACCTCTGAGTAAGAAGTGAACTCATAACGTGCTTTCCTTCCAGGTAGCTCCTATTATTGTCAGAATGTTAATTGTTCATATCATCTGTTTTCTTCAAAAAGACACATTCAGCATATGTATGTGTGTATCTGTACACAGAATATTGTGATATACACTGTATATACAGAATCACTGACGGGGGGGAGATAATCTTCTGTTCTAATTCTGCTTTGATGTTATTAAACTAGTCTCTTACTAAACTCCTTTCCTCCCTCTCTAAGAAGTATCTAAAGATGAGAAAGAATTACAAGACCTATCTGATTTCGGTGGGAAAGACCTGCTAGTCTTCAATTCATCCAAGTTCCATTAAAACCTAATATTCAAGCTAATAACCATAATCACACCTTGTGCACAAGCAGCCTTCACAAGTTCAACCACTGTAGCAACTCCTAAACACAAGGTTTTTCAACATGGTATCATTATTGAAGAAGTGGAAATCTGAGATGCACAACTATTGTTAGATTCCTAGCTACATTAAGATAACAAAGACCAATTAGGGAACAACCAATTTTTTGCTCTCAAGATAATCTTTTCTTTCAGATTCTCCATGCAATATTTATGTCTGTCCATCATAGCATTTCGACATGTGAGCTGGTCCCTTCCATGCCCAAGGAGTATAAAATCCCAGCAGTTACCATATTGATTGATGTAAAAGATGGAATTCGCTGTTTTTTGTTATGTTGTTACAATGGTATACTTTCTTTTAAGCCCTTTGCATTAGGAAAACATAATATGAAAATGACATTACAGGCTGCTTGAAAACCACAAGAGCAACCTGCCAGAAATCCATCCTTCTCTTAAAACCCTCTTCCCTGAAATAAATAGAAAACTCATTGTCAAAACTGCAAAACATCCTAGGCAGGTACTTTGTATTCAGTATTAATCAAAGGAACAGATCAAAAAATATCTTCAGCTGTACAGTTGGTTTACAAAATGCCTTGAACCATTCTTAGCATAAACTAACTACCAAAAACCTTCTTACGACCCTTAAACATCATACCTTAAAAAGGAGAATCTACTATCAGCAGTTTCTATGGAAATTGTCAAAACAAAAAAATCACATTTTACTCTTAACTTGCTGTTAGCCAGTAGCTAGGCAGTTCCAAGAATTGTGGCCTGCAAGGAACTTCCACTCCAAATTATTTTTCCCTTCTGAAACAATTCAGTCTTAGCCCCTTGTACAACAAACATCCATGACTATATCCAAAGAGGGTAAAAAATAAAATATTAAATATCTTAGGACAATACTTTGGAACACATTTCATGACACACAATTTTAATTTGTTACTTGGCATCATGAAATCAAAATCTTGTAAGAGTATGAAAGGGTTTATTTAATAACATACCCAAGAAAATGTTTGCGTTGAAGTTTTGTATGGATGCCAACCAACAAATAAGAAACTTATTTGTTTCAAGCATTCAAAACGGAGCTACGCAACCTATAAGTTGTAAAATTTCCTGTGGTGACTTCCCTCAGTGCTCAGCTAGGTGTCTGCTGTATCTAATGCTGCGGTGAAGATGTTACATTTTTTAAAACAAATAAAAGATAATTTCCTTGGGAGCAAATTTGGTTTAGTTAAGGTTACGGCATTAAGCTAGGAACTGAGAAACCATGAGTTTTAGTCCCATTTTAGACACCAGTTTGTGACTTGGGGCCAGTCCCTCTCTCTCAGCCCTAGGAAGCAGGCAATGGCAAGCCACTTCTGAAATCTTGCAAAAAAAATTGCAGACATTTGTTAGACAGGAGTCAAGTTTGACTCAAAGGTTACATGTCTGTCTGTCTGTCTGTCTATGATAGTTCTATAAGAGGAAAGCTATAAGCAGGATCTCCATACAATTACGAAGAGAAATTCGTCTATCAGCTTTCTTTTTATCCACTCTTATAAAGGCATATAATAAATCTCAAAGGACTGGTCTCCATGCAAATATCTTCTTCTTTCTTTGCAACTGCACAGAAAACCAACCTGTTCTTCACTGTTTAAACTCTTCCTCAAAGGGTGACCTAATGCACTCTGTCTGTTGAGTAAATTACTCCTAAAAGACCCTTCTAAACATGAGAAAAGTGGAACAGAGAGAAAAAACTGCATCCATACACAGGATTAAAAAAAAAAAAGACAAAACAAGAACAAAGACAAAACAATGTTTGCACAACTAATAAAGTGTTGTTTTTAAAAAGTGGGAATGTAAGCAAAGCACACAGCTATGGACACATATGGAAATACTTTCCCAACTTAAATCCTAAAGCTTAAGTGCTACCAAAATCAATATCCACACCACCAAAGTGCAACTTTCAGAGAAGTTAGCTAAGGAATGTGCAAGTAAACACTTAAAGGAACAGGATAAATCTCTCAGAGTTTTACCACCAACTAATTAAACTAAACATCTTCTGTTTTGTTTAGATCCAATTCAATGCAAATATTATTTACTTAAAGTTGATCCTTTTTTGGTCTTTTTTCCCCTTTTACACAATAGTTGAATTTATCACACCACTTCACAAGTTCTTACTTCCAATTCTTCAATTAATAAAGGAGAACATGTGTAGCTCAGGGTCGACATGAGGGGTCCTTGGTGGTCCCTGCGCTTTCTCGTTTTCTGGCAGACGTCTCATGACCCAAACTAGGTAACATCATCAGTGCTAGTCCTATTTTTAATCCATCATCCCTCCACTAGCACTGATGGTGTTACTTAGTTTGGTCATGAGACGTCTGCAAGAAAAAAACCAAGCTCAGGCAGCACCGAGGACCCCTCAACTCTTCCAGTTGCTTACTTTTTTTAAGACAAGGGATATGGAAAACTACAAAGAACCAAGACTTTATGGAACCAATGGAGGAGCTGGCACCCAGGTCTGGCAAAAGCTGGGAAGTATGGACATTGTTGAATAGACTGTCCACCGATACAACAAGATCCAGAGACACCCTGAGCAAATGGGGCTATCCGATGGCTTCTGCCCCCTGCAATTGTGGTGACATGCACACAACAACACATGTGTAGACCTGCCTTTTGTGTCCTGATCAGTGTACACCTGGGGACCTCATGGCAGAATGCAATTCATATTGCTAGTTTCTGGGCAAGATCTCTTCATATTTTAATCTTGTATTTTATATTCTATGTTATATAGTATGCCATATTTTAATTAGGAGGCTTCTGACCCGAATAAACAAAGCCACAGGGTATATCAACATATACTATGGTTAGATTACGCCGTGTAACAGAAGTAATTTCTGCAGAAAAAATTTGATGCCTTTTGATTGTTTGCAAGTCAAACCCCCAAGTGTCTCTTACAAATATATATTTTTCTTCCAAAGAATGGAATTCACATTTATAACCATACTTGCTGGCAAGAAAACATTACACTGCACTGTTTTCTTCAATAAATAATCCGTGTGGATTAACCAGAGAAGCAAAAAAGGGAAAGAAGGTAGCAACATCAACTTGCTCTCTATATTTAAAATTAATTTTTAAAAAAACTTACAGTCTCTCCAACTCTTTTAAGTCTTGAAATGCTCCTCTCTCAATTGTAGTAATCTTGTTTTCCATGAGTTGACTGAAACGCAGAATAAAATGCTCTGAAACTCCAGCAATCAAACAGTGATTAGCACCAATTATTACAATACTTGGCAGTGGATACTCTTACAGTCACCTCTCCTTATTAACTCTGCAATTCTCACTCTATTCTTAACTTTCCATCCAATTTAATGTGTTAAGCCTGTCACATGATATTGCCGTGTCAGTTAGAGAGAAACCAAACTCTCCATTCTTTTAAAAGAGAGAGAGAGAGAGAGACCTTAAGCCTGTTTAAGAAATTCAGGGGTCAGAGGTGAGGAAAATATATGTCTTAACTACAAAAAGGCAAAGGTACTGTTTAACGACAAAATGTAGAAATATGTACTGAGCCAAATCTATGAAGCTCCTCTTTAATGAAAGTACATTGTAAAAACACAAAGCATGTTTTATTTTACAACAGAAGAGTCACAGGAACGATGTCTCTCCAAAGTTTGAAACTTTTCACTCACAGAAGGATGGATTAAAATTGGACAAATTAGTTCCAGTTAAGCCCTGTAGAATTACTCTTCACAAATGATCACATATACACAGACACAATCCCAACACATACACAACCTCCCTCCACCACGAAATGTATCACCTAAAGCAGGAGTTTTTCAAGAGCTCAATAACTAGTTAAAAATTTAATTTGAACCAGAAAACGATCTATGGCTACTCTTTGCTGAATTTCATCATCTTAAATTTATTTACTTAATTAGGTTATCCCAAATGCTCAACCTATTAAAAAAAAATACTTTCTGATTGCAAAATATTCTGTTCCATGTGGATTGCTAAAGCACGTTCATTTTTGAAATTTTACATTATTTTGCAATATTTATAACTACAAGGAGTAATATGAAATCACAAGTGGTTACAATCCAGACTTCTATTATGGCAGTCTTCCAAACTTTTTTTACAACTGCTTTTTCTTTTACAATATAGCTGTTGTTATTTGAGACGTTAATTAATTTTTAAAAAGAGTCCTATTCATTGAAAAAACTATTTTGCATAGGACTGAAGTTCAGTAATAAAATTCAAGAAAAACTTACAGAACACGAAGATGTCTTAGACCAGCAAAATCCGTTTTTGTGATCCTTGTGATATTATTTCCATTAAGATCCCTAAGAAAAACATATCAGCAGTAAAATTAGACACCCCATAAACATAAGCCAGGCTTCTTAATGTTTCTAATAAGCTAGAAATTTGGTTTGTGGCGTAACTGAAGATTAGTACTTATGCTAATTTTTGTGAACATTCATGAAAAGTTTAAGTTGCAATTCTCTAAAAAAAAAAACCAAAATGTAATCGGATAAATTTCGCTTTGCTCCTGTTTACTGAAAAACAGTAATTCCAAGGACTATTTTCAATAATTTGGCTTCTCATGACATGAATTGTTACGATTATTAACTTTTATTTGTTTCTATAGAGTTGTTTTCTTACAGGAATAGCCTGGTGATTATGTAACAGATTAAAAAAATCAAGAGACATTTGTACCGATAGGAGTGGGGAAGACAATTTCAGGATATAGAGAAAACAGAAGAGTTTCAATCATGTGTCAGGATATCTAACCGTGATATATAGTGAGTTTTCTCCTGTACAGTATATATAGATATAAACACCTACACTGTTAAACTAATACTTCTACTGATGGAGGTAAAATGACACAATTTTAATAACAATGAACTTTTGTTAAAAAGGCTGCCCAAGTTAAGTCTTAGAAAATTTGCCGCCACTGTAATATACAAACAGAATTGAACAATCAGGGAAAAGTTTTTCTTTTGTGGGCAAAATTTCATTTTGTCTGTAATAAATGAAATGGTCCTAGCCTTTGGGGTATATTATTGAGAAATAACTTTATATGGAAAGCAATCTTGAAATTTATGGAATATTGTTTAAGAAAAGGAAACGGGATAATTAGCACACTCCTTTAAGGGGAGCTGGTACTGTACAAGCCACAAACGATCCACACAGGGAGAGATTTTTTTTTCTTTTCACCAGAGTTTATGAGTCACTTTTAGGTTTTCCCTCTCACTCCATGAAAAACCATTTTTCACCTATTTCCAATTTTTTCCCAACCGCTTCAATAAAAATCCGCAAAAGCAACAGAGCCTGTTTTAAGTAGCACTCAGTGTGCTTTTCACAATGTAACAGCAGAATTTTTCAGTGTGGATTCCAGATAATCTTTTCTCAATGTTTCCTCTCAATTTGGAATCATAAACTTTGTTGGGACAGAGTTGGAGCAGCGACGAATCCTAAAACAATTTAATATTTTAGCTAGATCTCTTAAGGCTCTTCTGAAAACAGCCCCTCTGCGCTTCCAAGCCAACCAGCAACACCTCTAGATTGCTGTTAAGAAAGAATTGCCGCTGATTTTGAAGAAGCCCCTTTGCCATTTTCCCTCAGGCCAAGGCCTCCCTGGGGGCGGTGAGATGCTGAGGGGGACCGAAAGTATGAAACGCTATTCAAGGCAGGGCTGGGCTTTTTCTCCTGCCAGGCTGAAGGCTTCCCAGCGCCCCTTCCGAGAGAAGGTCCCCATCGGATTGACTGGGCCGGGCAAAGGGAGCCGTCTTTTCATGCAAGGGGCCAAAGCGAGGGAAGAAGCAGAAATGGGGCTCCAGCTCACCAGGGGCTTCGTTTTGGGGGGCGAGGGGCAACGGAGGGGGGGCCCGCTGCCTTCCTCCGGGGAGCCCCGAGCGGAGCTGCAGCGGGCAGGAGGGGCAGTGCAGGAAGGATGGAAGGATGGCAGGCAGGCAGGGGCTGCCCAGAGCGCTTCGCTCGCTGCCCGCAAGGAACCGCCGCGCTTCGGAGGCTGCGGGAGGGGAGGGGAGGGGAGGGGAGGGGGGTAAAATAGACCCTGCTCTCTGCGGGGGGGCGGTGTGTGTGTGTGTGTGTGAGAGAGAGAGAGAGAGAGAGAGAGAGGAGGACGCAGCCCCCTTGCCCTCTCCCGGGACCCCCCCCGTCCCCCGGGGCCACTTACAGCCTCTCGGCGTGGCGGGGCAGGTTCCTGGGGACGGTGCGCAGGGCCAGCCCGTGGCAGTCGACGCTGGGGCCGGAGCAGGAGCAGAGCGGCGGGCAGGGCTGGGCGCCCCCGTGGCCCGGCCGGAGCAGCAGCAGCAGCAAAGCCGGCAGCAACTTCATGGTGTCGGCGCGGCGCCCCTCCGCCCGCCCGCCCGCCTCCTCCTCCTCCTCCTCCTCCTCCTCCTCGTCGTCGTCGTCGTCGTCGTCCCGCGGCGTCCCCGAGGGCTGGCGAGGGATGCGGCGCCGCCGCCGCCGCCGCCCGAGAAAAGCCGCCTCGCTCTGGGCTCGCGCTCTCCTCAGCCGCCGGTGCGGAACCACTTCCCGGCTAGACGCCGCCGCGGCCGGAGCCCCGCCGCGCCGCTCGCAGCAGCCCCGTCTGCCCGCCGCCGCCGCCGCCGCCGCCCGCCCCGCACTGCATTGCGACCCTCCGAGCAGCGGCGCGGCTCCCGGGCGGAGCAGCCTCCTCCTCCTCCTCGCCTCCTCCTCCTCCTCTCCTCCTCCTCCTCACGCGGCCGGCGCCGGCAGCCGCACGAGCCGCATCGTGGCGCCGGAGCAGCCCCGGCAGCGAGCGCCCCGTCCGTGCCCGCCTGGCCGCCCCTCTGCCCGCAGCCCCCCCCGCGCAGCCCCCGCGCAGCGGCCCAGCCGGTCCCGGCAGGTGAGGCCCCGCCCAGCGCCCGCAAGCCCCGCCCACGCCGCTCGGCCAGCGAGAGGGGGAGGGCCGAGGGGCGGACCGGACCCGCCCACCCGCCCCCCAGCCGCCCCCCGCCGCTGCCCGCCGGCGCCTCAGGTGAGCGGAGGGCGGGCAGGTGCGGCGCTGCCCTCCGGGAGGCTCCTCGGCGGCGGCGCCCGTCCGGCACTCGCCCTCCTCCGTCCGCCGCGCTGCGGCTCCGGACGTCCCGCGGCTCGGCGAGCGCTCTTCTCCGGCCGGGAGACGCGCGGCGGACGCGAAAGGGGACCGGCCGGAAGGGCGAAGGGGGGCGAGCCGCCGCCGCCTCCTCTGCCCGCCCGGAGCGCCGTCCTTCCCGGCCCCGCCTTCCTTGGGGGCTCCGGGGGCCCCGCGGTCGTCCGGCCTGCCAAGCGGAGTCCTCCTTCAGGCGGGGCAAGAAGACTCCCCGTTGGGCTGAATGGATTCCTCCGAGCGGGATGAAGCTGGAGAAGCTGCCCGAGAGACTCTGGGAAGCACAACCCCGTCACCCCCCCCCCGCCTTCACCAACCTTGATTTTGTGACAGGGGGAAGGAAGTGGAGCTTCAGGAACCCTCTGGAAACGTCATAAGAAAACAGAACTCATTTCTAATTATGGCTGGATTTAAAGCATGGAACTTATTTTGCGCCTTCTTACCATGATGTTGCCAGTCTTTAACTTTTTCTAATAAAAGTGTCTTTTTGTGGTGACTTCCACAACCTCTTTTTCTTTTCTTTTTTTTCCTTTTTTTCTTGAGAAGATCTCTGGCTGTTTTCACAACATTTTGAGGCAGAGTCACCAGGAGACAAAAGATGCCTGTCAAATCCAAAAGTTCAACCACGGCAGGCAGCTGCAGTGCCATCATTTTATGTTTTAATTAGTAAAACATAAGGTCCCAACGAGTTCCATATTCAATAATGAAAAGAAAATGGATTTCTGTAACAATTTGTATATAGTTATAAAATTAGTTATTTGAGTTAATTATACAGGAATCTCTTAATAGACTAGATTCTTCTGATCCATAACCATCTCATTACACAGGTAGCAATTATTTTAAAACCGTAGTCTCTAAATTATGCTGTTGGAAAATAAACACACTTAAGCCTACCGTTCTGTCTGGAGTATTTGAAATTGCAGCTCGTGGCTTGTTGAGGTTGGTTGGTTATGCCTCTCTAACTGTTGTAACTTTTTATTGATGATTGTTTAAAGGACAAAATTCTGTAACTTTTTTGGAAGTGGTGCCATAAAATATGCAATGCCTATGTCCTTGTAATAAACTTTTTTTTTTAATCTGTAGATCTTAGAGATGAAACTCATTCGAAGGATCTTACGAGGATAGATAATTCTGTACCTTTCAATTTCAATCAGTATTTCTTCATTGGACTTTGAATTTTAAATGCCCTTGGGATTGTAGTGTTTATCTGACACTCCTTTATTCTGTACTATTTCTGCCATTCTGATCAGAATCACAAATGCTCCCTTTCCAAGACTTTATATGCACGTTACACTTTCCGGCATAAATGAGAAGACATTGACTTTAATCGGCAAAAAGGTATGTTTCATTTATATATATATATATATTGTGAGGCTCACAATGGAGATTCTGATCCTGAGCGATGGGAATAAGCAGTGACACATATTCAGAGGCCCGATAATTATATTGCTATAGCTGTAGAAACAACATTTCAGATGGAAGTTTGCCAGAGAAAGATCCTTGGGAGGTGAAGATGGGACATCCTCCAAATACACCTCCCTAAATCCCTGCACTATCTGTCTTTCCGTTTGGTTAACCCTTTCTTTGCTATGATGAGTTCAAATCTCTGAAAAGCCTGGGATGTAGCGCATAATGAGACAAAAAAGGCAGGGCAGGGTTTTACTCTTCTCAGAATAGACATTGGAATTTCGGCAAATGGTTTTCCGAACACTTCTCATAATGCAGATGCGGCAAGAGGTCTTGCAAAAAGATGCATCTCCCAGATATTCTGCTTGTTTATTTATTTATTTATTTATTTTTAAATTTATATACCGCCCTTCTCCCTGAGGACTCAGGGCGGTGTACAGCCAGAATTAAAAAAAAAACATGAAATACAAATATTAAAAAACAATTAAAATATATATAAATTTGGCCCAAAATTAAAAATACAAACCAATTAAAACATTTAAAATTTCTTCTTAAGCCAGCCCGGCTTGCTGGAAAAAGTGGGTTTTAAGGGCACGGCGGAAGGCACTAAGGTCTTTTGTTGCATTTCTCAATCATGGTATCAGTCATGCAGTTCTCTTTTGGGATCAACAGCACAAAGATAAAAAGTAGGAAGCAAAAGCAACTCAGGCTGGAAAGTTGGCTCCTTAGATATCAAGTATTTCCCTGGCGCTTGACAATTATTATGACATGAGTTCCATAATAATTGTCAAGCGCTGGGGTAATCAGGAGATTCAGGAAGCTCAAATAAGTATAAAAAAGTATTGCAAGCTTAAGCTCTCTACCAGAATCTGGCCAACTAACAGTCAAGGGAAATGAGCGGGAGATAAGAGGGGCACTCAAGGTCGACTTAACTTGGATCTCTTGTGGGTGCGCAGGGACTCGTGAGCTTACAATACATTTGACCCATTCAACAACCAGTTCTCTGCCCTAATGATTTCTTCCAACAACCACTTTGCCAAACTGCTCAGAAAGTTAACAACCGGTTCTCCCGAAGTGGTGTGAACTGGCTGAATCCCACCACTGATTTGACCCCTTCCTCGGGCTTAGCCTGGTCATCTCCTACAGTAATGTTACCATGAAGCCCTGGTTGGCACAGTGGTTGGAATGAAATATTGCAGGCTAACTCTGCCAACTGCCAGGAGTTCGATCCTGACTATCTCAGGACTCAGCCTTTCATCCTTCCGAAGTCAGTAAAATGAGGAGCCAGATTGTTAGGGGTAATAGGCTGACTCTGTAAACCGCTTAGAGAGGGCTGTGAAGCGGTATATAAGTCTAAGTGCTATTGCTATTGCTAGGAAGCGCAATTTACAGAATTATTTAGACTAACCTGCTCAAGTCTTTTTAGGCGCTATCTGGAATATAACTGTCCATTAGTTCCTTCTTCAGCCTTTCTGTTGTTGACAGAATGAATTAGAGTTTTAAAAATGTATTTTGTAGGAATTTAAACAAGTAGAATTAGAAACAGCCAGTTTGCTCAAGATTTTAGTTAGCAATATCCCACAAGGTTCCTTAATTATCCACCTTAATTGGGAATCAATTAAGTCAGAAATTCATACAATTCAGACTCTATATTGAAACCCTGATATCTTGCCTTCCTCTAATTCTAATTGTTAACTGGGCTAGCTAGGACCGATGCCCCAAATAATTGGGCTATATGCTGTACATCTGGAACTGTGGATAAAGTAGTCCTCAATTTATAACCATGATGGAGCCTTGTATCACAACCTCATTACAGTTGTAAGCCATAATGGTCGTAAAGCTCGTTGCCCGTTTGACTGGTCTAATTTTACCACCTTTTTGTGGCAATTAAGTGAAGACTGTGGTTGTAAAGCAAAATAACAGACTGTCAGAGGCAGGGGGAGGAGTTAAATGAGGCATCAGCCTAGAATCCCTACGTAGCCACAAGTGTGCTAACCTCCCTTGAATTCTGTTGACCCTTATCTAACGCTAACCAGGTGCTGACCATTAGTTGAGAAGATTCTTGTGCCTTGGCTTTTAGCAATAAATCAGTTAATTTGAAGCTTCAGATGCAGGTTCACATTAATGCAGGTTTTCATCAAAAAAATCACAAAACATGATCACAGGCCCACGAGACCCACCATAATTGCAGGCTAGCCGCTGAGTGCCTGACGTGGTCACATGACCTTGGGAGGCAAGTCTGACTCTTAACTTTGGAACTGGGTTGTGACTAATCCTGGGGCCGGGTTTGTCATAACTAAGTGACCGGTCATAAGTCAAGGACTAACTGTATGCATTTAATGCTCAGGCAGATCAGCTACTAAACTAGAACAAAAGATAAAAAGAAGGTGTGGATTCAACTTCGAGGCTTTTTTTTTAGATAAAATATTTTACTTTTCAAAGCAAAATCATTTAGACCAACAAGGATTTAAACTGAGAAGGAGGAGTTCATTCTAAAACAATCATCAGGCACCAGAATTGACAGTGCAGACCCTGGCCAATGCAGTTGTGTCCAACCCTTGGCCACCCAGCACATATTAAAAGGAGGCAAAGCAGAGGGCCCCTAAATTAATCTTGTACCAAACCAATCTTTAGTGTATCTTTAATAACGAGGGAGCCAAACAATCAATCAGAACAGAACTGGAAGGGACCTTGGAGGTCTTCTAATCCACCCTCCTGCTCAAGGAAGACAACCTATATAATTTCAGACAAGTGGCTGTCCAGTCTCTTCTTAAAATCCTCCAGTGATGGGGCACCCATCACTTCTGGAGGCAACTTCTGTTCCACTGAT